ACTAAACATTCTCATTAACTCTTCACTACCTATATTGTGAAGCCTTGCATTTGCTGTTTCCTTGAGAGTCTGATTAATAGAAAGGGAGAAATATCTCTTATATTGATGACTTATGACTTCTCCAACTGCAATAAGACAAACAGAAGACATCTTGATAAAATGTTCATCAATCAAGCAAAATCTTTTTATTGGATCTAAAATATTTGATTCAAGGTCATTTTAAAAAGTGAACCTGGTTTTGATTTAGAATCTGGAATTTTTTTGCGAAACATTTTTTAATACCCGGCTTCCACTAAATTGGTCAAAATTTGCCTTCTCAACAGTCACATAAAACTTTGTCATCCAGGATGGACCATCGAGGATGACAAAGTTTTATGTGACTGTTGAGGTGGTTTTCCAAATAATGAATGCTCACACATTTGCTTTAGAGTTGTTTTGTTACAAAATGCTGCTCTAAAACTGTTTGTAGAGTGTATTTTACTGTTCCAAAGGTTAAAAAATGCTTAAACTCATAATATTTTACAAAAATAAAACAAGTATGAAAAAGAATATGATGTTTTTCTCAATACCTTGGAATGATACCTCGTGGTAGTTTTTGATCATCTAAAAACTAATAAATCCTTTTGGATCACCTTTGCCATATTTAAACCTCAACTTGTTTATAGCCAAAACTATTTTAAGTGCCATACAGTCATAGCTAAACATGAGATAGCAATTGTAAATAGAGCGTGTAAATGGCAGTTTAGCTCATTCAGACTTCCCTCCAAGTGTCACACAGTTTGCTTATGGTAAGATGGCTAACTGCAACTCTGTCTGACATTGCGATTGATATATTTGAGATAAGCGATCAACGATTATCATTAAAAAAAGCTAAGTGTAAGTCTAAATAAATAAAAGCTTGATAATCAACTGCTTTACATGTATGATTTTCGTAATCATCAGCTGTACCTCCAGCTAATTGATCCAGAGCAATGATATGGCATTTATTCATTAATGTTAAGAGAATGCTATTAATATGTACACCTTCTTGAGTTGTTGCATCAAATCCAAGAGTAATACGTGAATTAATGATAGCCCATTCTGATGCTTGCAGTTCTGCTCTACTGCCAAGCTCACAAGCCATTGGTTCAATCATACAATGGGAAATATCATTAAAAATGACACCCAAATACTGCATAATTTTCTCCATTAAAAATGGTTTGTTATTTGTTGTTACATTTGCCAATAACATGCTATAAATTGTCATTCGGGTTTGTAATGGATATACCTTATAATTTACTGAGCCATTCTCAGGTAATGTTATCCTCCTCCATCTGGATTATCTCATTTTCTTAACTACCTATCAGCATTTTATTTGCCTTAATATCTTTATTATGTGCAACTTTAACTTGTTTAAGCTTTTAAAGTTCTTAAATTTTCATTGCTTTTTTTTTTAAGCTTTAAGATTGCGTATTATTCTACTGTAATAATATGTTTGCAACTTTTGTTTAAGTTCTCTAACTTCAGCTCTCAAAACTTTAATAATTTGTTTCTTTTGTGTAATGCTTTGTCTCTGCACTATCAACTTGTATGGCATGCTTTTCAATTTTGCCCTCACTGTTGCTAATTTTTTTCAATGCATGCTGGATGTGACAGCAAGCTGAGAAGTTAAATAAGACAATCTGGTTTTTAAACCTTTTTTTCTTTAGCTCATTTCTCCTCTTGATTCATACTAATTCTGTACATAGTTAATAGAATGTTCAGAAAATAAAGGCTCATTATTCAGTTGTGATAAAGTACTTATGTGCTCAAGTGATGAATTATCTAAACTACTTAAAACATAGTAAGAGAACTACTTAGAGTAGGACTCGATGATGGAAAGACGGGCAAAATTGGTGCAATGCATACAAAGGGTTCATTAGAAAATTCTTAAAATTGATTACTATCCCTTGTAAAGTTGCAAAACCAACTTTTGCGTTTTTTCAAAATGCTAAAGATTTGTTGTTTACAAATATTTAAATTAAATAAGTCATTGACTAGTTGAATTGTTATAATAAATAATTTACCACTGTTAATGAATAAAAAAAGGTCCATGTTCATTTTTACAACAACTGCATGTTTTGGCAGGTAATAAGAAGTGTGTATCTAAATACTCTTTAAGTGCATCACGAACAAATAATAAGATTACTTTTTGGGTCCATAATGACAACATAAAATATGTGATAATATAAAGAAAATTCAAAACATGCATAGAAAATGTTTACATAAAATGAAATTGCTTTTAAAATACCATGCATACCTATAGCTAGAAATATAGTAATCAATGTTTATGTTTTCAATTTCAATGAAATCAATAACATTTTAGAAACTATAAACAAGTCACACTAAAATAAATGGTAATTTTCACTTTTAAAATAAAATGAACTAGTAAAATTATACAAACTAATATATATATATATATATATATATATATATATATATATATATATATATATATATATATATATATGTATATATATATATATATATATATATATATGTATATATATATATATGTATAGTTTAAAAAATTACTAAATTAACCTAATAAAGTTCAACTTGTTCATACCCCTTCTTACCACCCACTTGCAGAAATCAGAAGAACAGAAATAAGGTATCAACTGTTCACTTTTATAGACTTTTATCTGCTCAATAATATTTTTCAATGAAATTTTATAGGTAGATAAAAAATATATGTAAAAAACTATCAGGGTAGGTTTGCAAACTAACTAAGCATTCCTTCGACTATAATTTAATGTGAGAACAACAGCCAAGTTTTTAATACAAATAAAATCAATACAAAAATTACCAACCACACATAAATGTTACATATAAATCAAGTTTAACTATTCTTTTTTCCAAAAATAATCTAAGTTTAGTTATGTTTTTAAAAAGAAACACCACAAAAAAACGTTGCCTGACGCTACCTAAAAAAAAGTTTAAAAAACCTGACACAGAATTTTAGCACAAAGTTTGGTTCCGTAAAACACAGATTTCCGCCACCTACATTATCAGTCCAGGAGCATAACTTAGCTAGGTTATGTCTGGTTAGTTTTAATATTTAAAGATTATTTCTTCATTTAAAACTAGGTAATAATTAACACAACTTTTTTATCCTGCTCCAGTTTTTTTATTTTACAATATATTTTGTAAACATTTTTTAAAATTTGTTCTAATCTTTATTTGCTGAGCTTAAATAAACTAAATAAATTCTAAGTATTGATGGGAAATATGAAAAAATAAGAGAAAAACACTAACAATAGGAGAAATAGCATTATAAAAACAAAGAACATGATTGAACTTTCTTGTATGTATAGTCTATGTTTGTATAAATGAATATTTAAGAAAATGCAAGTTTTTTTTTTCATAATTTAATCTCTCGCAATTTAGTTAGATCTCAAACTATCTTTTCCAATCTTTTTTAACTTTTGTACTCAAAATCAGAATATTTACTAACAAAAAAATGTTTAATAATAATGCATAATGAGAAAAAAATTAAGCAAGCATTTTTATAAAACAGTTCGGCAACTTCATGAATAATAGACATACAGTAAATTTGTCTAAAGATATTATTTATAAGTAAATTTTAATTATTTGATCATCGATCAAATAATTAAAATTTTATGATAGTCTGAAAATTAGATTTGTATAATTTTCTGTATGTTTGTATGTAGTGTGTCTGAAGATGCTGTCTCTATTTGTAATAACATCATTTTCAAAATGTTTTGAACAGTTACCAGTTCAAATAGCAATAAATTAGCTTAAACACCAATGAGTTCTTCAACCTTCCAAACCTTAGTTCTTTCTACTACCTTACTTTTGGTTTCTTTTTCTTTTTTATATTTAACCCTTAAATGCAAAACATGAGTTGTTAGAAATCTGTACTTGTAAGCTTACAATTTCTCATGTTTCTTAAGTTCAAATGTTAAAATAAAGTATTAAATGGTTTTTAATGAGTAATTATTTACAAGCGTGTATTTATATGAAAACTTATATTTTTAAATTATTTAAAAAAAAAACACCATAATTTAAGCGTGAGTATCTTTTAAATAATCATTAGAAGTAAATTGTTTTTTATTTTAAGGGTTTCTCATAATATTTTATAATATTAATAAAGATAAAAGATTAAATGTTTATTATTCTGAGCATAATTAAAAACATGATTTAAATAAACTCAGCATTTCAATTTGTTTAGCAGCCTCCTTGGCAGATAAACTTTTTGACATGTTATTATGTGTGTACGACAAATTACTTTATGTTTAGGAGTCAATTAATTTATAACAAAAGACAATTTCTAACAAGTTAGTATAACATTTATGCGCTAGTGGTGTAGTGGTAGAGCTTTCTCAACTTGTTTCTCCTGGCAGCAGCCTTTTTGCTCAAGGATTGTGCTTTGGAGTTTAAGAGTTGAGAGAGGGTTGTAACCACAATAAACTAGCCTCCTTGACTATAGACTATACACCTCTGCTTTAGGGAGGTGAATAACATTTTTAAAAAAATGATAAAAAACAAAGAAATAACATCATTATTCAATAGTCTGATTTGCATCCATTATTGTAATTTACTTAATTGTAAGTAAAAAAATGTGCTACCATAGTTACCACACTTGATATCACGGCTGCTCTCAGGCAGATATTGATATATATTTTGATATATATATTTTTTTATCGATGAATTACTAAATTATAAAGTTGCATATATATGAAAAAAGTCATAAATTTATTAAATTAATAACTTTTTATTAAATAATTATTAACTTCTTTTAACTTTTAGACATAAAAAGTAATATTTATTTTTAAAATTTATAAAATTTTGTTGTTTTATTACATCTTAATAGTTATTGCATAATTATTGAGTAGTTGTTGCATAATTTTTTTTCATATTTTAAAAATATTTTTATATTTCTATTATAATTGTTTTGTTTAATATACATTTTTATTTTTTTGTTATATGCTTAAACATTTATTGTTTTATATTTTTAGAAAACAGGAGATTTAAATTCAAAATTAAATAGTTTATCCTTCGATTTAAATGATCTAAACATTTTATCTGATAAATTAAAAGAAATTTTGAATGATCTTGCTGATAGCAATACAGAGACAGTCAATTATACTTCTTTTTTATCAATGGTAAATCTTGTTTGTTTTTAGAAATATTTAAATATTTTGTATTTACATGATTTTATTTAAAGTTTAAAAACTGTGTAAATTTTCTTTGTTTGAAAACTAATTCTCCTTATTCCTAATGTCATTTGTCCATTCACTGTCTGTGTGTAACGTACTTCATTCTTCCATTCACTGTCTGTGTGTAATGTACTTCATTCTTCCATTCACTGTCTGTGTGTAATGTACTTCATTCTTCCATTATGGATTCACTGTCTGTGTGTAATCATTTGACAACTTTATTTTATTATGATTTTTTGTTTTATCTTAATTTAATTAATAATCTTCAATAACAACATTGTAATAAAATAATATTGATGTTGTTAAAAATATAATTATTGTTATATAATCGATTATCAATAATCAATCGTATTGAATTAAATATGGTTAATGAAATTCATATTGCAATATTCATATTGTAACATACACCATGCTTTACATACACCATGCTTTACATACACCACACTTTACACCACACTTTACACTATCACATTCTAGATTATAAAAATAGTACAATTTTAACACAGATAATTAATTTTAACACAGATAATTAAGAAATCATAAATATCATCTGCTACAAAACTAATAGATAAAATATCACAATAAATGTGTACAGAAGCATGCCTCTATAAAAAATAAAACAAATCAAAATAATAAATACAGCACTCTAATTTGATGAAGAATGTTTTTGTCAAGACAGGAGTATAAAGTTGAGTTGTCCTCAAATAGAGTTACTTAAGATGTAAAATTGTCAGAAAGATCATTAATGTAGATAAGAAACAATACAGGATCAAGGATAGAACCTTTAAGTACCCCAGAAGTTACTGGAAACACAGATTGTTGGCTTTTGAGGATGACTAATAAAGTGGTTAGAAAGAATTGCAGCATATGAAGCGAGATTATGGAGAAGACCAGCATGCCACACTTTATTAAAAGGTTTAGATATGTCATGAGCAATAACTTGTGCCTCGTTGCCACAATCTAATGCATGATTATCAAGTTAGCCCTAGGACAAGGATATTAAAAACCATATTGATTGTAAAAGAGTTATTAGACTCAAGATGGGAAGTTAGAAATTTCTTGATCAAAGACTCAAGCTCCTCGCTAATAATAGAGAAGACAGATTGGACTATAGTTGGAAGGGCCAGAGTGTTCTCCAGAGTTTTTAAAAATTGGAACCACATTCCATTTTCCAGCAGAAGGAAAGTAAGATTCAGTAAAGCATTTATAAAATAGTTTGTAGAGAATTGAAGAGAGTTCTAGGAAACATTTGTAACACAATGACAGCAATTTTTTCTGGACCACAACCCATAAATAAGTTTAGTTGAGAAATAATATTTACATCAGAGTGATTTGGATGTCTAACAATGGATTAACTTGTTCAAATTGAATGCCAAAAAGAGTATGGTCATTAGATTCAAAAATCAAATTAGAAAAGTTCTTTGCAAATAATTCAGCCTTATCCTTGGAAGAAGTAATAAAATCATACTTATAAATTAGAGATGGAATGTTAGACATTTGTTAATGACACTGTTGAAGATTTTCCAAAAATCTTTAAAGATCAACTTCTAAGAAAAGATTTAGTAAACTGGGAATAATGAAGCTTAGCATCAGACAGCACCTTTTTATATTGATTTCTTACAATAATAAAAAAGTGTTTGCTTTCAAGAGATATAAAAAAGTGTTTGCTTTCAAGAGATATAAAAAAGATGAAAAAAATGATTACAATTAGATATAGAAGTTGCACAAGAAGATAAAACCATGGAGTAGAATAAGATTCTTTTGAGGATTTTCAATGTTCTTTTTATAATAGTATCTTTTATTCACAGTGCTCCCACCTCATTATGATCATAATTTAATTTAGATCTTATACTTGACTGCAGTAAATGGTGTAGTGATAGAGCGCTAAGATCTTATACTTACCTACCGTGTTGTGGTAGAGTGGTCACTTCGTATGTGAGAATTTTAAGATTCAATCACCACCATATTTTTGGTAGTACCATGCTCAACTTGTTTCTCTGCACAGCAGCCTTGTTTGTCAAGATTTGTGTTTTGTAGCTGAAGAGTTGAAAGAGGGTTGTAACCGCAATAAAAATCTTCTCTACTGTTGTGGCCCCTCCACCCTGGAGAGGTGAAAAACATTACAACCACAAAAAAGTTCATTATGTATCTTTATCATCTTTGTTCATCCTTTACTTGGTAGTCAGCAGAAAATCTTTTCTATACAGACACTCAGTTTGCATAGTTTGCAAGATGATTGGTTCCATAGAATCCATTATTCAATTGGTTCTTCCTTTAAATCTATTATTGTTTTAAAGTATCCTGCAAATTTTTGATTAAATTATTATTTACTATTATTACCTTTTGTTGTTAGTTTAATTTATTTTAATAAATTTTACATTTTTTAATACACATATTTTTTTCAATCGTGAATTTTTTTTTTGCAATTAAAATTATTTAAATCAAATTCTAGATCAATGAAAAAATCACTGATTCAAATCTTGCTCTTGCAGCATTAAACTTAACTAACTATGCTAAAAATTTAAGTAGTTACAACGTAAGTTAATGTTAAATTTTATTGTTTATCATTGAAAGCATAAATGATTTTGTAGTATTAGGATATTTACTTTTTCTAAATTCTATTTACTTTAATACTATTTTTTTAATATTTTCAATTTCAATGTTTGCTACCTAACAGTAAAGGGTAATTAAACCGTAAACTAAAAATAGCTTTGTTAACCAAAACCATAAACCTGGTTAACAAGGCTAAATTTGAAATTTGATTGTTTTTATTTAGTTTCTTTAAAATATTATATTGTTATAATTTTTTAAATTATTATTATTTTGAAATACACATAGTTTAATTTGTTTTAAATTATCTTTAGAGTATTGCAGAGAAACTTCGAAATATTTCATCACGATTAATTGAAATTGACAATACAGTTGTTTCAAACATCAAAAATAATCTGGTTTTTTTTTTTTTTGTTTTATTCAAAACTTATTTTTTGTTATTACACATAAATTTAATGTTGTTACGAGTTTCCTTTTAAATCTCATATTTGTAGAAAAATCTCGAAAGCAATGTTACAGCACTAAAGAGTACATCATATCATTTTAAGGTAATGTAATGTTGGTTTCAAGTATTTTATCAAAATTTAACTTTTTTAAGCAAATTAAAATGGGGTGTTATCAATAAGATTACTACAAAAAAGTGCAACCAATAGTCTGGTAAATAAATAATAATACAATAAATAATCTGGTAAACAAATAGTAGGTCAATAAATAATCTGGAAGATAAACAATCTGGTAAATGAATAATAGTATAATAAATAATCTGGTAAATAAATAACAGTACAAATATCGCAAATAAATAATATAATAAATAATCTGATATAAAAATAATAGCATAATAAATAATCTGGGAAATAAATAATGGCGCAATAAATAATCTGGTAAAAAATTTATTTGTTAACAAGTGTTTAAGAATATATAAAGAAACCTATAAAAACTTTTTTATTATCATAGTTATATAAATGAAAAATTAAAAATGGTTTTAAATAAATTAAAAATCATGTTATATTTGTTTGCATTAATTATACTTCATCTTTGTTAATAGTTCAAAGCTGCCATTTATTATAGGACAGCACTTCCCAAAATTGACAGCAGGATTTTTAATGTCTCAGATATTATATATTTGTTATGCTTTGTTTATTCATGGATACTGATGTATCTGTATATTTAACTGCATTTTCATTTCACACTTATGTTATTATGCAAAAGTTGCACTTATTATTTTATTTTACAACAGTTACATTTTTTTTTTTTTTACTTAGTTGATTTATTTTTCAATTTTAAAAAAAAATTTTAATTTTGGTTTTTATTTAAATACTGCTCTTTATCCTCCTTTTTCCGAATTTTCTTTCATAATTTTTTTTTCCGAATGGCTTTCTTTCATAATTGTTCTCGAAAAGCCTTTTCTATAATTCTATTTAAAAAATGCAATTAAAATGGACAATAAGTCCTAATAAATTTCTAAACCCAAATTATTATTTTTTACAAAATGCTTATAAAATAATTTAGTTTTTATATATTAAAACTTACATGATAATTTAGTTATCATGTAAGTTTTATACTATAGAGATCATGTAATCATGTAAGTTTTATACTATAGAGAGGAATAAATCAAAAGTTCATTTTTGATAAATCAAGATTTATGAGATTTTTTTATAGGTCAACAATTTTTTCAAGTCTGGTTGCACTGCAAGTTTTTATTTTTATCAGTGACTGATATTTTTTGTAAAAATTTTATAAACGGTTTGACACTGATTCGTTTTTTTTTAGTATTAGGACTAAATTTAAGATTTTTATTGTAACAAGTAAAAATGATTGAACAGGGGGTCTTAGTATTGAATAAGAAATAAAAAAATGATTTTAATGATGTAAATAATTTATAAAAAAATGAATAAAGGGATCTTAATAAGTGCTTAATAAGGAGCTGGTGAAAATATTTTAAGAAAATCAATGAACCTCCCGTGTATTAAGAATGCAAGAGTAATAAGATGCAACTGTTCCAAAGTGTATGTACTGAAACAAAAATACACGGATACACCAACATCAGAATTGCATTAAAATAAAAAGCAATATTAATATTCATTAGCTCTAAAAACAAGAATATTAAAAGTATAAAATAAAAAGTTTTAAAGAAAAGTTGCTCTGCTAAAAATTGCAGAAATAATCTTGACAGTCAATATATATTGACTACCATCTTGGCATATATATGTAAAAACTAAGTTTTGTCATATACATGTCAAGTGCAGTTTTTAAAAGTTTAACATAAAAGAAACTATTTAAATGCTGAAGTCATTATAACAATTTATCTAAACTTTAATTGGTTTAAAGTTTTTGTAACATTTAATGAGGCCATGATGCTGTCTATAACCTAGGAAAAAATTCTAAAATAAAAAATTAATAGTTTGAATTTATGTATTTATATAATTTTTTTATATTAGAAACCTAATCTATTGTTTAGTATATTTTATTGCAATATTTCTTCTTCATACATACATACTACCTGCAATAGTTATCCTTAACCATCAAATTTTTTTTAAAGGAAACAATATTAGATTTACTTAAGAGGTATAATCAATCTGATGCGTTTATCAAGAATGAAGGAGAATACATCATTAAACATGTAAATACATTTATACTTTTATCATTTTTACTTGTTGAAAATAAAAATAATAAAAAGTTCTTATAATTGTTTAGTTAATAAGTAATTATTCTACTCGATTAATTGGATGGTTAGATCAGGGCTCTACTCATCTTGTTGTCCAGGTAACATATTAAATTTTTTTTTTTAACAAATTAGAATCAAGCAATAAAAATGTTTTTACTTTTTCCCATAGGTTAAATCAAATATGCTTAAATGTGGACCAATAGCAAATTTGTATGATGGCGTTATCAACACCTATGTTTGTAGTGATATTGTTCAAAATGTGGTAAAATATTTTTATTAAATATTTCAGAGAAATTCTTTATAATACTATACTTTTTTTAGTTTATTACAATTCTTTATAATACTATACTTTTTTTAGTTTTTTATTGTAATAACACTATATAACACAATTTTTGTTTCTGGCTTCTAAGTGTTATATTTTAATTGCTTATGCCCAAAGTATGTGAAAAAATGACTTCATTAGGCACAAATTTTGCTTACACAACAACAGCACAACAAAGACTCGTTTTTTGTGAAAATAGAACAATTTTTTTTTCCTTTTCGTCATTATGATCAGGTAAAAACAAAAATTGCACAAGAAATAGATAAACAAAGTTGAAAACCACACAACAAGGTTCAGAAATGTTTAGATATTCTAGTTTCACGATTGTACTATGAATCACTCTCTCAAAGTAGCCCCTAAATGTAGTTTCCCATCATCTGGCTGCTGTCTCCTCAAGATGGCTGATGCCACCTAGGAGAAGTTGGAACAAGCAGATTGGCGCTGTGTGGTACTGGGGCGATGGAAGAAAGTATGTCTGGATAAACAATCTGAGGGGCATTTTTGCTGTTGCAATGATTTTTCAGGTTTACCATGCAAAAGTAGCAAATGCTTGAGTGGTCTGTCGGCTCTTGCAAAATTTGTAGGATAGCACACTTCATGGCTTGCTTCTCTCCTCTGTTCCAACCTGTAACATAGCACATAATAGTACATAAGAATTATAATAATTTGAGGACAGAAAATTTCAAGATGGATTCTATTTGCCTACAGTACATGACTTATGATGAAATTTTGTAAATTACAACTCCTTAAAATAAACTAGATCTTAAGCATTGAAATTTTATTAAAATAAATTAAAACACATTTTAGCGATATGCAACTGTTAGTTTACTTTCAAGTGTTTTCATGCAATATTCGCATGTGAAATGACAGCACGCCGAAGTATGCTTTGTAGGCCTCGCACATTATACAGTTTGCTTCTACAGAATACTTTTTCACTCTTGTCTTTATGAATTGTCCACACACATAATAGAATAAATCAGCTGGATACAAACAACCTCTTGATACCATATCAAATATATAACTTCTCTGCAGCTACAAATTGTTATCCATTCAGTCTGCAATAACACAAATTGGAATCTTGATTCAAGACAAGTTCTGAGAGTTTCTTGAAAGTTCTGAAAGTTTCTTGAATATTCTAGAGTGTTTAGGAGAGTTGTAGAAACATCTGGACAACTCCAACATTTCATGAATATTATAGGAGGATGCTCAGCATTGAAAGCAAATTAAGAATTTTCTCCAAAAACACACGACTTTCCAAATTTCATTGTCCTGATCACAGAAGCAAAGTTTTTCTGGAATAGCAGAGATTTCCTATCTGTTCTAGACCTAACGGGTTAGGATAACACACTTTCAACCCAAGAACAGAACCAAAGTGAAAATTTGTTACATAGTGTAATCTAAATATGTTTTCTTGGTTTATCATGAGATATGAGTTTGATGAGTCTTTTGGTTATAAGGGAGTTTTATATAACTGACCGTCTTTTTCCTTTTATGTATTCATTTTATATTAAAATATATTTTTATTACTTACTTTTAGAATGGCTTTTGGCTGGCATTAGGGTGGTGTCTTCTATTTTTTGTGCCATGCATTATACTTAGTGTGAAGTTGGCAAAGTTTTATAGAAAAATGAATTATGGTAGCAGGTAAATTTTGTAGGTTTAATTTTTTTATCAATCGTTATTTTTTTTTTGACTCGTTATCATATTAAATTTTGGGATCCTATGTTGGATATTTTTTTGACTCATTATCAGATCAGCCATTTGGGATCCTATGTTGGATCAAACATCATCTACAGATGATGATGAACTTTCTTATATCTACAGATGATGATGAACTTTCTTATATCTGCAGATGATGATGAACTTTCTTATATCTATAGATGATGATGAACTTTCTTATATTTATAGATGATGATGAACTTTTTTATATCTATAGATGATGATAAACTTTTTTGTATCTGCAGATGATGATGAACTTTCTTATATCTACAGATTATGATGAACTTTCTTATATCTACAGATGATGATGAACTTTCTTATATCTACAGATGATGATGAACTTTCTTATATTTACAGATGATGATGAACTTTCTTATATCTACAGATGATGATGAACTTTCTTATATCTACTGATGATGATGAACTTTCTTATATCTATAGATGATAATTTATCTTTTCTTATATCTATAGATGATGACGAACACTCTCTTATATCTATGGATGGTAATATACTTGGTCTTTCCAAAATATTCTTTTTTTATAATTCTCAGAAATTTTATATTGACCTTGACTTTATAGTTCTAAATGTTAAATTATTCAGTGTTGCAAGTTTTAGTCTTTTTTGAGAGCATTGAATCACGTGGCAGCGACTGTCAATCTACACATAAAATATCATTGTAATTTACAATCAGTTTGTATTGAATCTTTTTATTGTGATTTGTTTTAACTTTTTTTTTTGTTAATACATTTTACATTTGACATAGACAATGGATCTAATTATTGCTTGTGTTATATTATTTGTTACAAAATTTCAAGTTTATTTATTGATCGATCTGCAAATATTATTTAATTACTGTTCAGTTTTCATTAAAATGTTTCTACCCATTCAAATGCAGAATACCTGTTCAAATGTAGAATCCAAATCAAATGCAGGGACATACCTCTTTTATAGATTAAGAAACACTAAGATTGTGGATTAAAAAAAGATTATGTTCTTGATTTGACAAATTTTTTTAAATTTTTAATAGTCTGTGTGAACAATTTTTTTTTTTTTAGGGAATCCTAAGTGTACATTCTTTTATTTAAAATATTGTTAAAAAAATTGAAATTTAATTAATAATTGATAATAATTAACATTCTATCAAATAATTATCCAAAAAATCAATTTAAATTTTTGTTGCTGTTGGTAACTGGTTAGGTGCAAGAGACATTTATTAGAAATTGAATTAAGTTTTTTTTTTTTTAAATAACTTTTAACTAAACTATTTAGTTTTTTTTTTTTTAACTTAGCTAATGATCTTGTTGCAGTGTTTCTTTAGTTTTTTAATAACTTGGCTAATATAAGGTCTTGTAATAATGTATTTTTTAGTTTGTTTTTTTTTTTGCTCAAAAGCATGGTAAAATTTTAAATAGTAAAATTGGTTTTTAACAACTTTATTGACTTATTTTTAACATTTCATTACAGTAATATATATGTATTTTTAACATTTCATTACAGTAATATATATGATGTATTTTCGAAAAACTTCTTTTAAATGGAATAATTTTTTTTTTTGTTTTTTGTTTTTTGTTAAAAACTCTCTAAAGATTCCTAACAAGATTACAAGAAATAATTTTTTGTTTACCGGTACAAAACACAAGAAACTTTGTTGAAAAATCATAAAAAATTTTTTAACTTTTAATAAAAGCAATTCCAACATTTTTTTGTTTACAAATACTCTAGTTTATTTCATTTTTTGTTTTTTTATTAGTAAAAATTTTTGAATATTTTATGTTTTATCAATCAAAAGAATTTTCATAATTTAATATAAATGAGACTTTAATTTAGTTTAATTTGTTTGTTGCTAACAGTTTACAATGATATGCTCGTAATTTAAAAAATTTGCTTTTGTCATAAACAGATATGGAAATTCAGTTAAGTAGCTGAGTTTGTCCCATCTAATTTGAGGTCAGGTAGAAGTTCTCTAATACAAACCCGGGCAAGTATGCTAAACAAGTTAGACTTATCAAACTCACGTTCAAAGTATATACATACTCACGACTGTTTTACTGGTAGTTAGTAGCAGGTAGTTAGTAGTAGGTATTAACACCGTAAGCAACTTAATCCACCCCAGAAGCCTTAGAAATGGTTTTAGATTTTTATTTTAAGTTCAATTATTCAGTTCTATTTTTATTTTAGTCTTGACAAGCACGTCCAACCTCCATTCAACGAAAGCTATCCAATGGAGTAAGTTGGTTTTGTAGGTATTCATTTTGGTTTTAAATTATGTCATAGGTTGTATTTACTAATTATTTTGTTGGCATTTATGTTGATTTATACTTATTAAGTTTTTATGTCTTGAAATTGCTTTTTAAATACGCCTGGACAAAAACTGGATGAAAATTAGATTTATATATTTGATAACATTCTTTTTGATGTTTTTTTTTATTATTTAAAAATAATAAATTTTTCCTTTTAATTGCTTAAGAGTGCGTTCTTCAGTGCATGACCAAACCTCTCTGATGGAAAACAATTGGTAGGTAGTATTCACTACTTTACACTTTTTATGTTTTCTGTTTTATTAAGACATTAGTAAATATATATACCTATTATAGGTCTCACACTGATGCTCCTCCGCCTTATTCGAATAACCAATTCACTCCAAGATATAATTCTGGTTATCATTATTAAAATCTATACACATGTAAAGTGTATATATACATATATAAAAAGATTTTATCATAAGTTTGAGTTTTTTAATGTAGAAATTTTAATTGGTATTTTGTTACTGTTTTTTAAAACTTATGGACTGCATAATCATAGATGTTAATACATCTATGATTACGCAGGCGTATTTACAATTTGTGTATTACGCATAAGTATTTGTGTTTTATACAAATCTTTGGTGAAGCGATTTTTCATTATAAATGGTTTGAGATAAAAATAATATATTGTATTTTGCAAAATGATGTTTTTAAAGAAAATATAATTAAACTGCTTCAAATGTTAGCGTATTTCTTCTTTATAAAAAGCTGTCAGCATTCATTGGTACGAGTATTATAAAAGAAACTACTGTTTCTTACATTTAGATGTCAAGAAACAGTACAGAACTTGGTAAGAAACTGAAGTCGGTAAAAAAGTCATGATTCTATTTACCTTTAACTTTCTGTTATTATATAATACGCTTTTCAATAGTTTTCATTTATATAAATACAGATGTCACATTTTGATTTTTAGAAACAGTGGGTTTTGACGTCAAAATGTCAGAGAAACAGTAGATTTTTGACGTTAAAGTATCAGAGAAACATTAGATTTTTTGCATCGAAATGCAAGAAAAAAGTATTTTGCCATCAAAATGCCAGAGAAGCAGTAGTTTTTTGTTATCAAAATCCTTGCCAACAACTTTTGAACATGAACATAATATAAGAATATAAATGTAGTTTTACATGCTTTGTTTTACAAGAATCATCAATTTAAGTTTCCACACTTCACTTAAATTCATTTTAAATAATATATTTTAAAAACCTAATTTTCTTACAATCTTTTCGAAGTATCATCAATCTTCATGTTCAAAAGATCATTTGTTAAATATCACCACGTTTCTCTAAGTTAGTTTTTTCAGCATTTTATGGTTTGATTTATATTCTTGATACAAAAAAAAAAAAAAAAAAAAAAAAAGAGCTGCAATAAAGTGCCATATATACTACCACTTTACCTTCGTCAAAAACACGCTTCAACACTAGTATACAACAAAAATAAATTTGCTCATGCTAATCCCTTATTGGAACAAATGAACGCACTAAATATATTTCAAATAAATATTTTTCAAAACATACTTCTCATGTTTAAATATAAACTAAATCTGATTCCAGAACATATTGCGGCACATTTTTTTTTAAAAACAATATAAATAAATACAATACAGGAGCAACAGGCAACTTTAAGATACCGTTTGAAACAACAAGACTCTCAAAATTCTCAATTACATATCGTGGTATAAGAAATTTTTTTTAAATGTAGCTAAATTTTTAATACAAATCGATGATAAAAAAATAATAAAATTAATAACAAGGTATATATGTACAACATACATATATACCAAGTATGGAACTGATTTTTATGTGTATTACACGTCCGAGGTACTCGATGACAAGAATGACTTAAGCCTTCTGACTTGACTTAATTCTTCTTATCAATCTTACACAATTTTCGTTTATATCATATTTATACACAAACATTAGTTTGTAATGTGGTAAATAAAGTTATAGTCAAACATCTAAACACTTCTCCGAAAAATCAGCTAATTTATTTTAATTTATTGTATTTTTTATTTTAACTGGAATAATATAGAGATATATTTATCAGATTATTTTTACGTACACGTTACTAAATTTTTGTAGTTGGTGTTTATTTTAATCGTGTCTCGGAGTTGTATGCAACTATATTTTTGTTTACTTCGTATATTTTGAATTTTATGTTTATGATATTTATGTTTGTATATTTATGTTTTACCGCCAATCTGTGATTGGTTATTTGTAAATATATATATATATATATATATATATATATATATAGGGGAAGTGGAGGCATAACCGCCCCCGTAAAGTTTGGAACAATGTTAGATGAAGATAAAAATGAAATGTGTTTTTTTACTAGTTTACTTCAATAACCACATCATTAAGCTTTAAATTGATGCTATTAAGAAAAAAATTTAACGGTTTTTGAAAATTTTATTTTACAAAAAATACAATTAGTGAAAAAAACGGTTTTGCCTCCATTGTGAGGCACAACCGCACCCTCACAAAAATCGTTCGGGGTACACCTTTCATCGTACATTTTCTTTACAATTTTCATAGCTCAGATTATTTGATGATTTTGTTGCATGTTTGCATAATTTGCGGGCATTCTTTATATTTACATTTTGAGTTCTGCTCCAGAAGAGAGTTCTGCCCCAGAAGAGAGTTTTAAGAAAGAATTCAGTTTCATAGCTTACTTATTAGATTATGCTGATATCAAAAATGGTTTTCACTTGATGAAATAATGCTGATAACACATGTCTTTAACACTAAAATCAAATATTGCTTAATTCTCAAAAAAAAGGTCTGGAAAAATATGATGTAAATATAAAATTTTCATCAAAATAAACATTGTTATGCACAATTTCTCAGAAACGTAACAAGCACACTTTTTGACATATGCAAAATGAAGGAAACTGTTTTACTAACGCGTGGTATGTTTTTTGCCATATTGGATAATATTTTTCTAAGGGAAATGTTAAAAAACGGTTGTGCCTCCTTATGCAGTTATGCCCCTACTTCCCCTATATATATATATATATATATATATATATATATATATATATATATATATATATATATATATATATATATATATATATATATATATATATATATATATATATATATATATATATATATATATATATATATATATATATATATATATTTTTACCATTATATTAAATAAAATTGGTTTGACTTTTTTAATAATTGATTTCGTAAATTGTATAAAAAACGTGAAAATTAAGAAAATTTGCGTTTTTTTGCATTTTTTTGCAAGTAGATTAAGCTTGCCATTTTTTATTTTGGAGAGCTGAAATTTTTTATGAGCTCATATTTTACCCTGTTGAACTTACTCCCGGGTTACTAAAGTTGAATTTCCAAAAAAGTATGCAAATCACTCCAGCCTATTATGTAATAACTGTTGTTATTTTGCAACCAGTAAGTTGCATCAACTACATTAGAAAATTAAAAAGTCATGAAAATAATTCTTTAGAATTTGGATAATTTTAGTCTGTTCATTTGTTTTTATAGTTTTTTCGTACTAACTAGCGTTCTAGTTTATAGTAATGCCCTCTCAAAATATACTTGGCTTTACTGTTTGAAAGTTTTTGCTGGACGAAAAAACTGACAAGTTGTTTGACAAGTGATTATAAATTGCTCAACAAGGTCTACTCTTTTACAGCGTTCTTCAAGTGTTGTTAGACCGAGTTGTTGGAATAAATTTTTATAGGACAGGTGTTTAATAGATAATATTGTTTTTTTTGCTCGATATTGGGTTTGCTCAAAGGTGGCAGAGTTGAACTTTAAATGCGGCGACCATGAAACATAACCTTGAGTTTATTGTGCAAACCATGCGGTTTGCACAATAAACTCAAGTTATGTTTTAACTATTATTTACATTTAATTATAACTATGTTAATTTAATAATTGCATTTTTTTAAAGTTTCACACAACAATAATAATCAATGCGTACATGAATTTTCTAGATTTAAAACTTGAGAAAAGAAATGTTGCATCACAAAACTAAATACCCTTTCTACCCTATAACAAATCGTTACAATATCGCTAATCCTACTCCACCCCACTCCACCCCTCCCTATTGCGTGACGTAATTTGTGTACAACCCCCTAGCTAGTAATAGTTACTTTCTAGTTAGTAAGTTTTTTTTTTTTTTTTTTTTAAACGTTTATTTCACAACTACAAAGTATTTACAATTGACCAATCATCATTTGGCGAATAAAGATATACAAATATAAATATAGTAAACATAAAGTCCAAAATAAATAAGGGATAAATCTAAAATATTGTTACATTCAACTTTGAGACATGATAGAAATAAATACAAAGTACACAATAGAATAACGTGAACGTAAAAATTACCCAAGAAATAAACCATCTATATTCTTTCAATCAGAATAATATATATATATATATATATTTATATATATATATATATATATATATATATATATATATATATATATATATATATATATATATATATATATATATATATATATATATATATATAAAAGTATGATAAAAACAAGATTTGTAAAAGATTGAAGAAAATAATTAATTGTTTGTAGTTATAGGAAGCTCGCAGAAGACTGGGGTCAGTCTTGTCATCGAGTACCTTCTAGACGTGTAATACACATAAAAATCAGTTGCATACGTGGCAAATATGTATGTGATACATATATGCCTTAAAATTAATAATGTTACTATCTCCTTTTAGTATTATTTTTATTGATTCCGTTGAAAAGTTACATTTTTTGTTTTATTAGGGTTGTTTTATATTATTTTAAATTTTAAATTGGAGTTTAAAAAAACTCCTTGTAGTTGTTTAACTTGATTATTGTAGATTTTAACTTTGTTTTTAGGGACTGTTCGTTGTTTAAATTTATTAGCAATTCGTTTCTAGAAATTATTTTGTTAAATAAATAGGGACCACGATGTTTTATTGAAAACTTTGAGAGTTTTTCTTTTCAAAGGGTATCTTAAAGTTTCCCGTTGCTTTTGTATTGTACTTGTTTACGTTGTTTTCAAAAAAGTGTGCTGTAAAATGTTCTGGAACCAGACTTAGTTTATATTTAAACATGAAAAGTATATTTTGATAAATATTAATTTGAAAAATATTTAAAGCGTTCATTTGCTCCAGTAGGGGTTGAGCATGAGTAAGTTTATTTTTGTTGAACACTAGTCTTGAAGCGTGCTTTTGACGCAGATAAAGCGGTTTTAATTTAGTTATGTGGGTACTGCCCCATGCTATATTGGCATACATAAGATAGCTATGTATAAATGAAAAATAAACGAGTATTAGACTTTTTTGTGTCAAGAAAGATCTTGACACAAAAAAGTCTAATACTCGTTTATAAAGTAGACCTATGTTCTTTGATATTTTTGTATTTATATAGTTGATGTGGGGCTTCCAAGAGATGTGTTCATCAATTAGAACACCTAAAAACTTTGTATTTTGAGCTCTTTCGATGGTTATATTTTCTATAGTAATTGTTGGTAGGTAAAGGGGAAGCTTTTTAATTTGTTGAATAGAGTGGAATAGAATATATTTTGTTTTATATTGAGTGATTGTTTGATTTAAACCATATATTAATTTGTTTTAATTCATTATTTATTTGTTTAAATAAGTCTTCAATAGACTTTGATGAGTAAAATAAGTTTGTATCATCGGCAAAAACTATAGTT